TTGGGCCGCCTGTGGGGATAGCCATTTAAAAAGGGGACTACTTCTGAGCTCTGATTGTTGTTAGCAGCAGTATATGTTCGTTAACATTTTGATGTATGGATACAGAATGAAGACACACAGAAGGGCGACTCAGCCAAAAAAGCGTAACCGCAGTCATCAAAATGCTGACGCCATGGTCCAAGTCATGCGCTTTTGAGAGGCATTCACCCCCTGGACGTTAACATTTTGAATATTATCAGGGGGGGGGGTGAATGGCTCTCATAAGCGGACTGGTTAGGACCATGGTATCAGCATTTTGATGACGAATTACGGTTACGCTAAAATCATAGGTTAAACCTAGAAGTCGATCTTCTGTTGGTCTCTATTTTGTGGTACGGATACTCGATTACTTGTTTGTAGCTCGTTTAGCCGGCATTGATTGTTACAATACTATTCGTTGCATGACAGACTAAATGATGCATTGAATAACAAAACAACATGATAGCTTGTCATTATTTAGAAAGGCTTTCTTTTCGACGTTTTGGACCTTTTAGGTGGAAACCTTGATAACCTTAAGAGCGTTGGGCCAGTGTTCCAAAGGTCGTAGGTTCGATTCCCACCGTGGCCAGGCATATTTTTCAAGCCTGCCCGGTGTGGATATACACTCAGAGTAACATCACACAAGCATTTTATTCACCTGAGTACATTGCACCAACACAGCAAATATCATGATTATTAGATTACACTGGATTATTAGATTACACTGATATCGAAGGAACTAGACTCAGTTCCGAAATAGCGCATACTCGAACCGACCTGACCGAGTAGCTCAGTGGGCAGAGCGTTGGGCTAGTATTCAGGGGCGGATCTAGGGGTCGTCAAACCAGTCACGCGACTAACGTAAAAATTGCAAACTTAATTAAAGTCTTAAATATTCGACCAATAGTCCAGTTATTTTTTATCATGCAGCGACACCTTATAATAGTCCAGTACCTATTATCATGCAGCGCTAGCAATTAACATTCCAATCGAATTGTAGTCCAGTTATCAAATTTCATACAGTGGTTGAGCCGACGAGCTTAGTCAAGTCAATGAGCAGCTGACATACGCAAAGTTGGTCAGTCAAAAAGTCAAAATCCAGTGTTTTGATTGGTCTAGACGCTTATTGCCATGGTAACAAGCGATTTTTTGCGATTTTGACTGATCTGTGGGGAGTTCTGACCGATTTACAAAAGTCAGGGGCGCTCCATTAGTCGGAATATCATTAATATTTGACGCGTGATAAAGTCTTTCCGAGCGCGCGCTCATTCGAAGTGTCATGTTGTAGCTTTGTCGAAAGATTCAATTTAAAGATATCTACGGAAAATTCGGAAATGTCTGCTGCTCCAGACTCCAGTCCTTGTAGTATTCACGAAACGGTTCGATCCGCATTTGCAGTGAATGATTTAGCTGTCTTACAAGACTGTTGCGCTGATCTTGGGAGGAAAATCAACGCTAAATATCGGAGAGTTCCATTCAGTGAACAGTTGCTAAGCGGCGTAAGCGCCATGAATAGCACGAACTACAGTTTGACTGTTTGAGTGGAAGTATTGGCGCCGAGATCTTTATTCTGAACTGCAATAAGGTAAATTTAATGTGATATGTAAATTTTATTTCGTTTTTGACAGCATAACAATATTTATAAGCGAACAAGATGCGCGCCATGCATATGTAAAATTGTAATTTGAATAGACATATCTAGTTGATTTAGATTTAGCTGTGAATTTTGATTTACACAACAAATTTGCATATTTGTAATTCTGCGGTTGAAGGTCCGTCAGAACTCAGAAGGCTATTAATATGGAGGATAACCTATATAAATGCAGTAATGCAGTGTACATAGGATATAAAAGTCAGATTTTATAGCTGCATGTTAAGACTTTAATATTAATATGTTTATTTGAGTAATATGACACTGTAGTGATTTGCTAGTCAAGTGATCAATGACTCAACAAGGCTATTAGGCAACAAAATTGAGTGCAGTACTATCATGAGATAGTTAAACATAATACTAGCAATCCGTAATTTGATAAAATGAAACATCTTCCACAATTATCACATTTCTGCAAGTACTTCTCCTTTACTTTTCCCAAAGGAGCGAGTTGTGAGAGTCAGTCAGACTGATAGTTGCTATAATTATCTCCCATTTCATGAAGTTAATTTTTTGTTGAAGCTGCTTTCAGAGTGATGCAAATTGCGTTTCGGAGGTTTAAAAATATAAAAATTCCTGGGGGACAGACCCCCCTAGGTGCCTCGCGCATTCGCCGCCCGCAAAACTAGATTGTACATCCGAAAACTTTGACTAACGTACGAAAAATCCTGGATCCGCCCCTGCTAGTATTCCAAAGGTCGTAGGTTCGATTCCTACCGTTGCCAGGCATATTTTTCAAGCCTGCCCGGTGTGGATATACACTTATAAGTAATAGCATAAAAAGAAGCGAATTAGCTATTAAAACGTCCCGCCCGATGAGGGTCGTTTAGTATAATTCCCTTGGGCGCCGCTCGATGAGGGTCATTTAGTAAAATTCCCGAGGGCCGAAGGCCCGAGGGAATTTTACTAAATGACCCGCGGGTATTCCCGTTGGCGTTGTTCTCGCATTAAAAACCAATTAACAATAAATAATGGTATAAATTAAATGGTATAATTGTTTTCCCTGTCTTTGTTTAGTTTTGGCGATTTCAGATATCTTCATTTATATTCATTTTTTCTAATCGTACCCGCTTTGACGTCGTTTCGGGTAGGATTAGAACTAATTCTACCTGACATGACGTAAAAGCGGGTAGGATTAGAAAATATGAATATAATGAGGTGTATTAGTTTTTAATTGCCCTGCGAGAACAAAGGGAATACCCGCAATCATGATATTATCAGTGTAACATCACACAAGCATCTTAAGAATATATTCAACCTTAAGAATAAATAAACTTTAAGAATATATTTCGAAAATGTGGTGCCGTTTAATAAGTATTTCATCTTAAAAATATTTAGTATAAGTAATAGCATGACATTCAGGTCGATTAGTTATTAAATGCACCCGAAAACTGAGAGAGGTTTAGTAAAAGGGACATTTCATCACTAATTGACCGAGTTACTAATCGTTCCTCATCTTTAAGCATAGCCTCTTATATTGCTGTTCAATTCAATATATTTAACAGACATAAAAAATCAGCCGTAACCTCATTAACGAACATCTCAATAGTCATTAGTATCAAAAAGCAAACGCGCCTTTTCATTTCAACTTATTCAATCGAATGAAACCGCTTTATTGTCTCGGTAGCTATGATATTACAAAGTGGCATTAAAGCCTAGTTTCCATTTGGTCGTTAGTTGTCGCTGGCACGACAAGCGGTAGATGTGAAATTTAACAAATATAAAACATTTTCCGTGTTGATATACAGTTATATCAACACGAGTGGAATTGGGAAAACGAGAAATTTTATGGAAACACGACGCCCGAAGGGCGGAGTGTTTTCATACAATTTCGAGTTTTCCCAACTTCCACGAGTGTTGATATAACTATATATCAATACGGAAAAAATGTTTTATATTTTTTTTATAATATAGCAATGTCAAAAGCCCGAAGGATAAGAAAAATTTCCGTGTTTGCAAGCGGCGGAAAATTTCCCGTGTTGACATTGAGTTATATCAACACGGCTCTTAGCCAATCAGCGTTCAGAATTTACAAATGCTATATTATAAAGTCTAATATCAATAGTCTTTTTGTGTGTTATATGCAAATCAGTCTTAATGATTGCAGAGTTTTATAAAGTTTGCTGACACTCTATGAAAAAATCAACCACTTGTCGTGCCAACGACAACTAACGACCAAACGGAAACTAGGCTTTAACGCCCGTATTCTAAAAGCTTACTCACACTCACACTCAATGAGTGGAGGTTCAATCTGAGCTCTCTGGAGTGTCAATGCTGTTTTTGAAAAGCTGGAGGCTTAGTGTCGTATCTTACTATATGACTACTAGTACTCCTGCTATTCAAAAACAGCATTGATACTCAAGAGAAGCTCAGATTGAACCTCCATTCATTGAGTGTGAGTGTGAGTGAGCTTTTAGAATACGGGCGTTAATCGTCCTGTGGGATGATTAGTTTCTATTTGTCCCTCATGTTCTAGCCATTGCTAGAATTAGTCGTTAATCATCGGTAAATTAGTCGTTAATCGCATCTCGCGAGACAAATGATTTAAAAGTAGCTATATGATATTACTATAGTTTCGATATAATGTAGCTCTTCAAAAGTACTTGTTACCATGCCGATGTAGCGTTTCGTCCAGGTAGAAGTGTATAACCTACTGTACTCTATTTGTCCTTAGTCAAGCACTGTTTCTCTAGAGGGCATGCATGTGGATCACCCAGAATTTTATTGGGGGAGGGGGGAGGGGAGTACGAATAAATAATTTGTAAAATGACAATTCATAATGGTATGAATCCATACAGCAAAATGTTAAATTAAATCATAGTTGAAACACTCATCAAACCCCTATTAATTTATGTGAAATCACTGACTGTTGCTACTTCATGTCTTTTAAAAAGATAACGAACAAGCCTTTGTTGGTAGGGATGCATCTACCTGAAAAACTATAAGGAAAATTTCGACGTTTCGAGCGAAGGCGCTTTGTCTGGGCTATTGCTCAAAACGTGGAAACTTTCCTTACATATTCCAGGTAGTTGCACTTGCACCCCAATTCCCTACCAACAAAAGCTTGTTCATATTATTGGCACTACCCGGCTACACTGGAACAGACAGTTTAAAATTTAAAAAGATGAGTAGTTTTAAGAGACAAATTAAGTTTATCTTTACTTAATATGTATAATTTTATTGGCTCGCATACAAAAATATATGTTATTGAGTAATATTGTTCTCTGCCATTCTCGGTACCATGTCACGATCAGGGGTTTGATAACAAGCAATTGTCCACTTACGAAATTGACTTTATGAAACAAGTTACTGATTTTAACAGAATTGCTCACCGTTTCAGAGTTAGAGAGATTACCAGTTATGTTGACAGGTGAATGTATGATCATTCCAGGTTTAATTAGTGTTTGTGATAGCAGCCACCAATGTCAGATAAAGCTTATTGTCTTTACGTACACTGACACAGTCTCCTGTTTTTCCCGTTGTCGTCTATATCTACACTGGCCCGACATTCGAGATCTGCATCAATATCAGTCAACTATATCTAAACGCATCTTTTAACATATCAGGCATACCAAGTACATAATATTATTCCTATTATGCCAGCTGGTTCTTAATATTTCTTTATATTGCTTCACATGACGTCGTCATTTTGGCCGGCCACAATATATTTAAAAACAACTATTTACATATTAAAATAATGATTAGGACTAGGAATCTTTAAGAAACTCTAAAGGGCTTTTATTCATAAGACTCCTATAGTCAATATGCTAAGTATACAGTTCAAACGGTAGAAAAGAAGCGAAAAAAAAAATTAAACGCCGAAGGCGAGTTGATTACATGCACTCATTCCCCAGGGACCAACTCAACAAACGTCATGGCAACCTTGTTGGTGTTTCCGGACAAAAGAGTTTAATTAAAATTCTTTTGAATTGGAACACCAACATGGCGGATATGACGTCATGTTCAAACGCTTTATATTCACTGAGCCGAAGGGAAGTGAATATAGGCCTGTACTTACCAAGATTGAGGCGACTAATTATCATAGTATAATTTCAGTATTGATTTTGGCTATTTTGATTTTCAACCATTTCACTACTGAGAGAGCCAATCAGAATGCTTAAAGGACATTTTTCAATACTGAAGTTATAGTAAAACTCGATAGAAACACGGGAATTTTCGCGCGGGTTGAGTGGATTCCGCGGACATTTTAAAAGACAAAATACAAACAATATTTAATGTTGAAAAAAGTTGGAACATGTTCAAAAAAGGCAGGGCATTTTTTAACTATATAACTGGGGGGCCAAAGCCCCCCCCAGCCCCCATGGTGCCCCCCCCCACTCAACCATTTTGCCCCCCAGTCAAAGTCCATTTTCTCTAAAATATAAGCAAAACATGGAATTTAGAAGGGAGGTTTGATATTCTAGTAACTGAAATTTGCTTTGTGAATCTTATGGTCCTGTCTTTTATGTTTAATAAATACCTTATTAGATTTTAAACATTTCCCAGGCAGTGGATTGCATTTCCCAGACCCTATAGAGTTTGAGTTGTTGGACAAGTTAGTGACCGCAGGGGGCAACAGGCCCTCGATCAAGTGTTTTATAAGGGGGGGGGGATAATTTTGGCCCACACAAAAAAAAAACAATTTGACTTCGAAACTAGAAGTATTTGAAATCATATATACATATAATCAAATATCTGTAATCGATTTTTGATAACATTTCTCGTAATAATCCATCCTGACTCGCGGATATCATAGACTCACAAATCATAATGAACGAATTAATGAAAGAGCCAAACAAAAGACGTATAGAAGACTTTGAAAATGCCATTTCCGATGATTTAGAGACGCAAAATTTTCAAAAATTTTCCGCTCTGTGCCAACCATGGTGGCGCTTCATGGGAGTCGGGAACTCTAAGTTTATCAAGCTGGCTTCCTAAGTGACGGCCAAGTTGTGGTACATCTACATAAACATACTATGCAAGTACTTAACTGATGGTTCAGTCTATCTACAGCATAATGCAATGCTGTATATCCAAAAATCTGTTTCAGAAAATGCAAGGAATTGCAGTCATAGGGGTAGAAAAATACAAAAATTTTCTGGGGGGAAAACCCCAGACCCTCTCCAGGGCCGTAGCAACCGCGGGGGGGGGGGCAATAATTTGCTAATAATCATTCATTTTTCAAAATCATGCAGACCTTTATTATTTAATCCATGACAAACTGCAAAGAATGAAGATATTATCCATACTTTCCTGCAACTTATCCAATATATCGTTAATTAAATACATCTTCGTACATTTAGTACTAACTGAATTCTAAATTTCCACATACTAAAAACGCTGTTTTCTGACAATCAGAAATCTGTCAAATCTTCCCCAAAGTCCAGGAAATGGCATTCCAGAGACTCTAAATTTAAAAATTTCCTCGGGCCTTCGGCCCTCGCTTTCAGCCCCCCCCCCAAACGAAAAGAGCTTCCTACCGCCCTGCTCTCCCCCACCCCCCCACTATTAAATGCGATACCACACCAAACTTTTTGTTACCAACAAACCATCTATCATTGCTCCACACTCGGTATAGTATGGTCCCTTTTTGTAGATGGCCCCCCACTGATGAATTCTTAAAAAATGCCCTGGTACTATACAATGAGACATGGTCTGGAAAGTGCATATATAATAACAGCTATTATTTTATTGTCGTCTACATGTCTGTGCACAACCAACACAACCATGCATATTATTTTGCTTTGATTTTCTAGCAAAGCAAAGCCCAAAAAACAACATTAGGAATTTCATACACTACTACCTAAACTAAATTATCAGGACAAACTACAAAAGATGTTGGCTTCAGGTCTCCGAGCGACCTATTAAAAAGTTTCCGAAATTAAAAAGTATGACGTAATTGCAATGATCCTTTCCTACAAAAATGCAATGGTTCCATTTTAACATTTTGTCTGTCTTAATTATACTAATTCCCCCCGGCTATTTACACCCGGGGAAACGAAAGCATTAGCGAAGTCTAAAGTTCATCAATAATCGCGGGCGTGGGTCACCAACGATGGGCGGTCATCCTCACTGATCTCAAAAATATGGCGGACTGTCATGAATAGCGGACACTGATTGGTCCAATTTAAAGTTTGCATTATAACGACTGCATGACGACAGCGAAATAGCAAACATTTCTTGATTTGATGATTGATAAATTTCTTGCAAATATATTTCATTTTTGCTCGCATTTTCGCAAGATTTTGTAAATTTCAAAAGCTTTCTTAGAACGAAAGGGCGAAAGAATCGGCTAAAAGAAGGAAGGCGACGTTAACGAAGGTAAGTTTGTTTTAAATATTGATTTTATAATTGCTTTAAAATCCGACGGCCTTTCCGTATATGAAACAACTAAACAAGACAGCATATAATTTCAGTGTATCTTTAAAATTGATTCCCTTTTTTATTATATTGATTTTTTTAAATAAAAATGAAAGCAAAGTTATTTACATGCGAGAATTTGAAATCATTTTATTGCAAACTCAAAGTTTATCGATAAAGCCATTTAAAGTGTTTATGCAACGAAATTTTCGACATCGTTTTTTTCGCAAATCTAAAAGACCAAGGTGCCGTGAGTACTATGCAAAAAACAAAATTAAAATCCGACGTGTAGAACTCATTTTATAACGTCTCAAAAATAGCGATTTTGAGAGTTACTTGCGAAAATTGATCGCGGCTGCGTGACGTCACAAGTAGGACGCAATAATCCGCAAAATGTAAATAAACATGGCGAGCAAAGGTGAATCTAGCCATCGCGGTGGCAAATATTGTGTCGCTGGCGGACCAAATAACGTGAGCTGTACGAATGGCCAACACACAAAAGAGATTTCAATCCATCATTTCCCAAACGCGACTAAAGAGCCTAAAAGACACGGCAAATGGGTTAAATTTGTTCGAAAACATCGACCGGGATGGATTCCTTCGGAGACGTCAATATTATGCGGCAGCCATTTCGAAGATTCGTGTTTCGAACAAAATAAAATTATTGCAGCTTCGCTGGGTATAAAGACAAGGTTAAATCGTGATGCAATACCAACACTTGACAACGCAAACGAAGTCATGCAGATCGAGAAATCACTTTCAAATAGGAAACGTAGAAAGGTGAGAATTTAAATATATAAACTGAATATATTAATAAATTTATATATGTTTGATACTCTGGTGTACAATAAACTGTAAACATGTTTGAGATTGCTATTTTGATGAATCGCGTTGTTTTGTTCTAGACTATGCGTGATATCACTCTTCAAGTAGGGGAACAAAGTACACTACAGGGTGTATAAAAAAAAAGGAAACCTTTAGAAATCGAGATATATTGTTAAAATTTGAATGCCATTTCAACTGCACATATGCTGAACTGTGGTGCGTGAAATATTGATGGAGTGCATATTGTCGGAAATAAAGTATGTAGTCGCAACACTATTCACAAATCACAAGCTTTTTGTAGTTTTATTAAAAAGTATATTCGCAATCACACGCCCAGTTTGGCTCTCGAGTCTCAATCCCTCACTGTCTCACACTCACATCACATCACACACACACTAACTCTAAATCTGTCAATTTAGGTATATATATATATATCACGGATTATATCTCTGGCATGCAAATAATGTCTCTATCTCTGATCAATGTCGTCATGGTTACATAATTAACTAAGAATTAACGAAAATATTTAACACACTCCCCCACATTTGTCTCTAATGAGACAAATGTTCTAAAATTCTAATATATTTCGTGTCCACGATTATACCCTATTACCTATATGAAAAAAATACCAATGTTTTAGATAACTGAACTATACGATTAAAATGTTTCTAAACAATCAGTCCTTTATGAATAATATAAAAAAATATTGTATCTTATCTGTCAATGTTTGTCAATGTTAGTCTTCTTCTTCCTCGATCCCAACTGCAGTGATCCGATCTTTGGCTTCAACGGCAGCTTGTCGCTTCGGTCTTGGTTGGAATTCAGGTGCTTTCACGTTTAGCTTCGCTGGCGTGGCTTGTTCTGTCACTTCCGTCTTGTCGCACGACAATTCTAACGGAAAAAGATGTTGAATCGCTCTTTCTACTACCGACTTTCCTGTTCGTACTTTCGCGCCTCGTACAACATTATCGATCCCAACTATCACCGTTTCGACTACTCCTAACTTCCACTTTCCACGGTTTCTCTCGTCCGATTTGATAATCACGACTCCGACCTTCGGTGTACTTGATTTGCTGCCATGTTGCTGGTTGTGACGTTCACGTAGCCCTCTCAGGTACTCGGTTTTCCATCTACGCCATACGGCTTCCTTGCAGCGTCGTAGATGTTTGGCTCGCTTGCGAAGGTCTTTGGATTCCACTCGATGAGGTTCTAACTCGGGTAAGACATTGGAACGTCCATATAAAAGGGAGTTGGGGGTTAGGATGGGGAACTGTATATCGTCCTCGACATAGCTAAGGGGACGGTTGTTGAGGGTCACTTCTACGTCCAATATCACGTCTCGTAACTCTTTCAGCGACAAAAAACCATTTCCAATGGTTTTGTACAGAGACTGCTTGATAAGGCCAATCATTCTTTCGAATTGGCCGCCCCACCATGGAGCCCGACTCAAATTAAATTGCCACTTGATTTCTTCTTTCGCCAACAAGTTTCCAACGCGCTCATCCTTCATCACAGTTCGGAGCCATTTAGCTGCAGCAACGAACGTTCCACCATTGTCGGAATATATCTTTCTTGGGCGCCCACGACGTGCTATCAATCGCCTTAAACTTCCTAGAAATTCTGTCGTCTCCATCGTAGTCAGCACTTCAATGTACAGAGCTCGTGTTAGGCTGCATGCGTAGACTATCAGATAGGCTTTCCCTTCTTGATTCTTGGACTTTCGATACTTGAGTGGACCTGCGAAGTCCACTCCTACTACTTCAAATGCTTCGGAGCCTTCAGTTCGTTGCACAACTTGAGTACCTTTCTCGCCAATCTTCTCAGCCGAGGCACCCAATATGAATCTCTAACTTGTGTCATTGTGGCTCCGATCCCTCCGTGCATCGTTTTCAGGTGCGCTTCGTTCACGATCTTCGCGGTAAATTCATGGGAATCAGGTAAATAAATTGGATACTGTCCCTGGATTCGGCCACGACACTCGAGTACTCCTGCGTCATCAGGTTGGAGGTTTAACTGCATCCGATCTCTTTCTAATTCTTCTGTGCCTTCCACACTTTCCTGCGCTCGTTTGACCCACAGGATCACTTGTCTCTCGATTTCGCCTGTTCTCAGCGGTCCCAGCAGTCTGTCTCTCTTGGATTTTCTCGCGTTGTCTGAAAACCTCGCTATCCAGGAGCATACACGTACCAATTTCCAGAACTGGAACTTCTCGACGAGAACATCAAAATCATCGCTTCGCACTTCACTGAACTTGAATATCTCTTTCAGGATTTTCTCTTCAGCTTGACTCTCTGGCGAAGTGCTCGTTGTGATGTTGGTTGGCCACTTTGCACTATCTGACAACCAAATTGGTCCTCTCCACCATAGATCTTTCTGGTCAACTGATCCTCCTCTACTGGCGAGATCTGCAGGATTCTCTTCGGTGTTGATATAACGCCACTTCACATCGCCATGTTGTTTGATCTTCGCAACTCGGTTTGCCACAAACTGCTTATAGTTACCATTTCCAGCAATCCAGTGAAGCGCGACACTGCTATCAAGCCAGCAATGTTGTTGACGTTGAAACCTTCGAGCGCTGCCTTCACGTTTGAGATAAGATTAACTGCCATATGACCGGAAACAAGCTCTAACCTAGGAATAGTTAAACCTTGTTTCGCTAACCTCGCTTTGGCTGCGACTAAACCTTGATTCACGGCTGACGGCTGGAAAACGACAGCGTAAACTGCGGCAGCTACACCTTTCCCGCTTGCGTCACCAAATGAATGCAGATGAATATCTGTAATGTTCTCGCGTAGTAAAGGTAACGGTCGCTTGGTCATGGCACTGGTTGGCAGGCTTTCTTCCCATTTCATTAATCTCCGCGACAGTTCGTACGGCAGTTTGGTGTCCCATGCAAGTTTGGCATCACACACCTCGCGATAAAGCATCTTTCCGGTAAGAGTAATAGGAGCCACTAGACCCAGTGGATCGTAGATTCTGGCGACCTTTCCGAGAATCCCTCTCTTTGTAGGCTCAGCTACACCCGATGGAAACTTGATTCCAATAGTATTCTCTTCTTTGTTCCACGAAAGACCGAGAATACTCGCTTGTTCTCCGTTTGGAACCCCAAGTTG